GGTTGATAGTAGACACAGGCATATTTTACCTTTTTATTCTTCTCCCTCCAAGTGTTACCGCTTTATTTGATTGTAGTCACCAATATTACTAACATTTTTGAACATTTGGACAAAGTAAAATTAGTATAAATTCAAGAGTACAAAGTAAAATACTAAATACAACATATTTGCTGAATATGCTTCTAAGTATTTTTGTTATCTGCTACACAGCATTTGGCATGTTTTGTGTATAGTACAGTGGTAGGGCGTTTGCCTTGCATACAGCCAACATGGCCGAACCGAGTTCGATTCCTCTGCCCCTCTTGGAGAGCCCGGCAAGCTACCGAGAGTATCTCGCCCGCATGGCAGAGCCTGGCAAGCTACCCGTGATGTATTCGATATGCCAAACACAGTAACAACAAAGTCTCTAATAGAGACGTTACTGGGCCCACTTGGGCAAATCGATGAACAACGGGAGGACAGTGACAGTGACAGTGACATTCAACATCAGGCTATACTAACATATAACCTAATTTTGTTCTTGTCTGTTTTGTTTGTGTGTTTGATTTTTCAGTCTGTACCCAGCTTTCCTCAGAACTTAGTCCTGGCTCTGCATGTGGGATCACTCCTGGCAGAGTTGGAGGTACAGGACATATATGGTGCCGGTATGAAATAGGGGTTAGCCTGTGCAAGGCAATCACTTTCCTGCTGTACTGTCTCTCTGAACCCATGTATATAACCTAATTATAAAAACGTTATTTTATTTCAATGCATATAAACTAATAGTCGACTTCATTATAAATTTCTAAATTGTTTGTGACTAGATCAAAAATACTTTATCCCTTTTCTGTCAATAGATATTTAATATTTTTATTTCCCCCTAAAATAAACATAGTTTATAAATCATCGTTACAACTGCTGTTTCTCTCCTGATTATTTTGTATGTAAGTTTAATTTTTTTGAAGATGAAAGTAATGTAGCCACATAAAGAGAGCTTGGAAAGTGAACATTTAAACAAATAACTGGAGCAATAGCACAGCGGGTAGGGTGTTCGCCTTACAAGCGGCCAACATGGCCGACCCGAGTTCGATTCCTCCGCCCCTCTCAGAGAGCCCGGCAAGCTACCGAGAGTATTCGATATGCCAGACACAGTAACAACAAAGTCTCCAATGGAGACGTTACTGGGCCCGCTCGAGCAAATCGACGATCAACGGGAGGGCCTTTACCTTTTACCTTTAAACAAATAACTAATCCTGTACTTCCTGTCACTTTTTTCTAATATAATTTTAAATCATGTTCAAGAATCAAATAGAAAATTTATATGGAACACAGATTAAGGATATTCCTCAAACCTCACTTTATTTCTAGTAACTGCAAGATGCCACTATACATTATACTATGCAGTTGTAGTAGATTATGTGTATATTATACTATACACTATGCTATTTAGCTGTGGTATATTATATAATACTGAATACTATATAGTATTATTATATTATATATAGAGCCCGGCAAGCTGCCGAGAGTATCTCGCTCGCATGGCAGAACCTGGCAAGCTCCCCATGACATATTCAATATGCCAAACACAGTAACAACAAAGTCTCCAATGGAGACGTTACTGGGCCCGCTCGAGCAAATCGATGATCAACGTGAGGGCCTTTACTTTACTTTACCTTTACTAGTATATATTATATGTATTATAATATATAATACTTAATACTGTGATACTCAGCAGCTTCTTCAGGGCAGGAGAGACAGACAGTGCTGCCTCTTCCAAGTATAACACTTAGCTCTCACACTGACTTACTGAGTTTCGCCAGTTGACTGCTTGTGTCTAAATTCTGAACCTCTAGTTCTTAAGGGCTGCTGGGTTAAATGTGATGAAAACTAGTATTTATTTAAAAGGCAAACTTATGCCAACAGCATTTTATATATTATACCTTTTAATATTTACAACACTTTAAGTTAGATATAATTAACCTCTCTTTGTGGGCACAATGACAGGTTAAGAATGGTTATTTTCCAAAGGAATTCTTTGTATAGCAGAACTGGATTGAGATATATAACTGTTAACTTTTGAAAAGACAACTTGTGAATAACTTATTTGTGCTCTTGTGGTATGGAAATGTGATGGCAGGTGGCAATAAATTTGAAAATATAATTATTCCTGATTGTAAAATCAGGGAATTTCTATTTCCTAAATTCTAATGCTGGAACATGTAATGCTCAAGATGATCTTCACCAGAATGATAGGGAAACAAGTATCAAATGTGTTTATGGTTGACAAGACCAATGAGGTGTGCATGTGGAGTAGAATCTGTTGGTTTAGATTTATCATATAGACAACTAGCCAAAAATTTTGATAATGAGATGAAATATAAGATAATATAAGATTTAATAATTTCAAATAAAGCCTATATCAATTGCCATAAGGATTTAACTTTGGCTGTACTATTTGCCAGGATGACTAGCAGGGAAGAGGGATTCTGTGAGGTAGGGATCAGAATAATTGTACTGAAGGAAAAGAATTTAAGCTAATAACCAGACTCATATTCTTTTATGAAAGCAGAAACTTTTCTCATGAGATCAATGGGGTATAAAGCGTTTTATACCTGATCTGAAAGCAAATTTTGAAGTTTGGTGAGAAATCCATCTAATGTAGAAAAACAGGCTTTCTGTTTTTTTCGTTGATGTTTTTTGACATTCCTGGCAATACTCAGGGACTCTACACTCAGGGATCACTCCTGGAAAGCTTTTGGGGCCAAATGTGGTAGATAAACCACATGTGGTGCTGGGTAACAACCCCAGGTCAATCACATGAGAGGCAGATGTCCTGCCCTCTACCCCTACATTAATAACATTAATGGGATATATTAATGGATGTATCTTTTTTGTTTTATCAACTTCCACTTTTAGAGGGTTTGAAGCATCCCCAGTTTTGCCTTACACATTCCATTAGAGGAACAGATTTAGTCTTATACCCATGAGCCCGGCAAGCTACCGAGAGTATCTCGCCCGCATGGCAAAGCCTGGCAAGCAACCCATGACATATTTGATATGCCAAACACAGTAACAACAAAGTCTCATGATGGAGACATTACTGGGCCCGCTCGAGCAAATCGATGAACAACGGGAGGACAGTGACAGTGACAGTGACTCATGTGCTAAGTTATCTTATTTGTGGCAGCAATTCAGCAGATACAGATTATTGAATCAACATCTTAGAGGTTCAGAACTCAGAGTCACAAGTTTCATGTTATCAATGAGTATGAGGACTATTTTACTTCTATGTGCCCTGAGGCATGGAACAGACAATTTGAAGAAATAATGAAAGACAAATGAATCAAAACTTCAGAAACAGAGCGATGCCATTTTCATTTATGTCCTAGGCCATTGTTACTTTTAGATTCAGTGTTACATCTGCATTGTTTGCAAAATTCCTCTTTTGCTTTAAACTGACAGTTGGTGGCCGTAACTTCCGAATACAAAATTTCTAACTATATGATTAGTATTAAACTGTTTGAAATTAATGGAGATAAAATTAAACATAAGAGATTTTTCCATAGTTGTCATTTTACTCACGATTATTTCTATCAGAAATAGAAACTCCTAGTATTCTCAATTTAGAATAAAGTAGCAGATATCATTGTAGACAAGTATATTAAAAGAGAGTGAGTTCTATTACATGAAGAAAATATGACATTTAACTAATAGAACCAAAGGCAATTGCTCACCTTTAGGAAAGGTCTTTTTATTCTTTAATATGATTGTTAGAATAGCATTTTCCCCCATACTTGGTACTATAAAAATAATATGAATAACTTGACCAATTGAACTTTTATTTTAAAATTAAATTTTAAAGTACTCATATAAAGGAACAGTCAAACAAAACAAAGAAAATACAACCTCTTCCATTTCAATTTATTTTCTAAGGAAATATTTATTTCTAAGGAAATATTTTCTAAGGTAATATATTTCTAAGGAAATATAAGTAAAATAAAAATAAAAAAGCAGAGTCAGATGAAATAGTATGAGTTAAGGCACTTGCCTTGCATATGATATACCTGGTACCACATATGGTCCCCTGAAACTTCTAGAAGTTATCCCTGAGCACAGAACCAGTAGGTAAGCCCTGATTACCTCCTGCTATGGCCCCCAAACTAAATCAAACCAAAACCAAAACAAACATAAAAAGTTAAAACATCTATGTAACATCCATTGGTATGACATTTAATTATGTTAGAGAGTAGCCACAGTGAAATATGTTTAATAATAATCATTTTAACACTAGACTTTCTAAATGTACTGTAAGTAACATATGTATAATCTCTTACCTATATATTATCTCTGGAGCGATAGCACAGCAGTAGGGCGTTTGCCTTGCACGCAGCCAACATGGCCGACCCAAGTTCGATTCCTCCGCCCCTCTCAGAGAGCCCGGCAAGCTACCGAGAGTATCTCGCCCGCACGGCAGAGCCTGGCAAGCTGCCTGTGATGTATTGGATATGCCAAACACAGTAACAACAAAGTCTCCAATGGAGAGGTTACTGGGCCCGCTCGAGCAAATCGATGATCAACAGAGGGTCTTTACCTTTACCTTACCTTTAGATAGAGATATTCTAACAGTTTTTAGGATACATTTTTTAAAAATTTGAATCACTGGAGCGGGAGCGATAGCACAGCGGGTAGGGCTTTTGCCTTGCATGTGGCTGAGCCAGGTTCGATTCCCAGCATCCCATATGGTCCCCTGAGCAGGGCCATGGGTGATGCTTGAGTTCAGAGCCAAAAGTGACCCCTGTGCATCGCCGGGTGTGACCCCCAAAAAAGCTAATTAATTAATTAATTAATTAAATAATACATTAAGAAAATTTTGAATCACTGAGACATACAAGTTTCAGTCATACAATCTTCCAGGACCCATCCCCTCACCAGTGCTCATTTCCTGCTACCAGTGTCTTCTGTTATATATGATACATTGCTGTGTTTTCTGTGACTCATAAACAAAAAAAATATCAATGATGATACTTACCTGGCACAGAGATACCATGACCATGTCGGTAGTTTTCGCCGAATTTGGCTTATTCATTGCATTCTGTATGTGCTGACTCTTATGATTTCTCCAAATGTGGGAAACTTGACTGCATATTTTGTGATAGTGTGAGATTGTATTTACGCTCTATCCTAAAAAAATAAAATCAATGACTTTCATAAATATCTTCAGTGGCGTATCTTATTTACAGCTCTTATTTTCTGTTCCAATATAAGAAAATGATAAATAAATTTTATCCTATGCCATAAGATTCTGAGGAGCATGACTTCCTCAACAGTATATTTTATGTTTGCACATATGCTATTTAAGTTACCAAGAATTTTTTTCTTCGATAACTGTTTAAATAGTCATAGCATAGTAAACAAATTTGAAAAATTTTAATAGTCCTTTTTTGGTCTATAAAGTTTGTATTCTTATCAGAGAGGTATATAGAATATATGAAAACAATAGTATAGAGCTAAAAATAACATGAATTATGTACAGTACCTCACTGTTAATGAATTTGTGCTCTTTGTTCTATTTTTATGTAAAGACATTAAATGTGTCACAAGGAATGAAAATCCAATGCAAAAACTACTTACAGCATATAGAAGAAAAGAAATGTTAGTATTCTCTGCCAAACACATATATGTGACTAGAATCCTTCATTCAAAGATGTATTCCCATATATATGAAACATATATTTAGGTGGTACATACACCAAGATTTTTCCCTCCAATATCTAATCCAATTTTCAGGTGGTATCACTGAACATTAATGTGATTATATATTAAATTAATTTTAGCACTATTTTCAACATTTATTTTTAACAATTAGATTCATGATTCTATTTTAAATATATACATGTTTAAGCAATTTCAAATTAACTCATCACTCTAAACCACCAAATCTTTAGTAGACAAACTATGGTAACAAGATAAATGAGCATTTAAATATTAATTTTGGCACTGTGGTTTACAAAATTGTTATTTATATGGTTTTGTACATAAAATATTCTTGAACCACACATTCTGTCTGCTTGAAAACACCTAACATTCTGCTTTCCTCCATCGTTGTCACAATGTCCTTCCCTCCAATCCTCACTCTTTAAGTTTCCCCCATTGTTATGTTTCCTACTAAATAAGATCTCAGTTTCTGTTGTCTTTGGACCTGTGTTATTCAGCTACTATGTTCCTTTGTTAGTTTGTTTTAGTTTGGGGGCCACATACTCTTAGGCTTTACTCCTGTACTCAGGGATCACTCCTGGCAATGATTGTGGATCTTATAGGATACTGGGGAACCCAACCTGGTCTGTAGAAAGCAATGCCTCTGTACTATATTTCTCTGCCTCTGTACTATATTTCTGACCCTAAATTTTGCTAGAATTTGTTTTATTGGGGAGGGGGCGGTGAGTACACCCAACAATGCTCAGGGCTTACTTCTGGCTCTACACTCAGGAATTGTAGCACTGTCCTCCCGTTGTTCATTAGTGGATAGCACAGCAGGTAGGGTATTTGCCTTGCATGAGGCTGACCCGGGTTCAATTTCTCCTTCCCTACTGGAGAGCCTGGAAAGCTACTGACAGCATCCTGCCTGTTCATCAGAGTCTGGCAAGCTCTCTGTGGGGTATTTGATATGCCAAAAACAGTAACAACAAGTCTCACAATGGTGACATTACTGGTGCCCGCTTCAGCAAATTGACGAAAAATGGGAGAACACTCAGGAATTACTACTAATAATTCCCTCAGAGGACCATCCAGGATGCCATGGATTGAACTTCTGTCGGCATAATGCAAGTCAGAGGATGTACCCACTGTTCTATTGCCCCAGCCCCTGTTTTATATTCTGAACAATACAATTGTAATTTGAATAAAGTTTGAATTAAATGACTATAATACAGTTAGTAGGATAGTCATTTTAGTAATGTTAACTCATTCAGTCCATGAGCATGAGTCCATGAGTCCATTCAGTCCATGAGTATCATTCATTTTCATATATTCTATTTCATGAAATGATCAATTATAATTTATGCCTTTCATAATCTTTATTATCTTCATTCCTAGGTACTTGAATTTTTTCTGCCATTTTAAGGAAAGTTAGTTTCATTATTTCTTTATCTTCTTCATTGAATATAGAAATCAAGCAGCTTTTGCATGTTTATTTTCTAGCTTCTCAATTTATATTATTGTTTTATGTTTCAAATAGATTTTAGTGGCATCTCTAGAGCTCTCTATGTATAGAAAATATGCATAGCTTAATTAGTTTCTCTTTTCTTCTAGTATTATTTAGATATTGTGACTTACAGTACTAGCAATACTAGTGTTTCAAGCAATATCACACCACTGCCAGTATCATTGTCCAACCTCTCACCATAGTCTCAATGTCTTCCTACCCTCCCAGCTACACCTCCTTGGCAAATTCAATTCTGTAGGTTGTCTGTCATGTTCTTATATGTTTCTCAGATAAATGTTATTTAAAATTTTAAATATCATGTAAATAATTTTAAAACTTTTTAGAATTAGTTTGGAAATTTTAATGACTTAGCATTGTGACTTGGGGATATAGATTTATGGATTTTATTATTTTGAAATTTTAATATTCAACAACATAGTTTTCACAATTATATCTCTTGATTGGGACATAAACTATTTTGATTTGGTAGAAAAAGAAAGGGATGAGCTCAAATGCTCTCTCTGTCTCACTTATGCCAGCTTTTCTAGTATAATATTTTTTTTATTCAAGTTTAGTTTAGCCACAGTAATTTAAAGTGTTAGAGTACTGGGTCTATTTCATTTTTTCTCCTTACCTAATTGCTGTAAGTATATCTTCCTAAATCAAGTGAAAAATAATGGGTCAGAGTGACTGTCCCCATCTAGTGCCTGATCTTAGAGTAAAAGCTTTTAGTTTTTCATCAGTGTGTATGAAATTATCATTAGGCTCTTTTGTATATGACCTTTATTTTGTTGAGGTATGTTTCTTCCATTCTGTTGAGAGTGTCGTCTTTGTTTTCCATAAGTGGATGTTCATTCTTGTAAAAAGCTTCCTTTGCATCCAATGATATTATCATATGATTATTGTCATTCTTTTTTTAATTAATTGATTTGTCTATGTTGAACAATCTTTGCAACCTTGCAATAAATTCTATTTTGTCCTGATGTATGATTCTTTGAGTATATTTGAGTTTTTTTCAAGGTGTTCGGATTTATGTTGATCTGGGAAACTAGTCTATAATATAATCTATAATTTATGTGTCTGTGTGTGTGAGATATGTATGATTTTGGTATTTTTGGAATAATTTTGGGCTGGAGCGATAGCACAGCGGGTAGGGCGTTCGCCTTACAAGCGGCCAACACGGCCGACCCGAGTTCGATTCCTCCGCCCCTCTCGGAGAGCCCGGCAAGCTACCGAGAGTATTCGATATGCCAGACACAGTAACAACAAAGTCTCCAGTGGAGACGTTACTGGGCCCGCTCGAGCAAATCGACGATCAACGGGAGGGCCTTTACCTTTTTTACCTTTACCATAAACTATCTGGTAAAATTCACAGTACTGCAATTTTTGGAAGTTATTGATAAAGTTATATGAACCCTTTGAAGGCTTGGTAGAGTGCCAACAAAACACCTGGATCTTGGATTTTCTTTTGGGATAAGCTTGATTATTCTTTCCATTTCCTTGTATCTAATAGGCTTGTTTTCACCAAAAACAAGGTGAAAGCCCACTTGGCAATGCTCAGGGATTACTCCTGGCAGTGGTTATAAAGAACAAACCTGGGTTAGCTGCCAGCAAGGCCAGCACCTAACCCACTATACTATTTTGCTAGCCCCTAGAATTTTATAATTTACAAAAATGTATTCAGTTTTTGTAGATTCTCATTGGGAGGCTTAATCATTTCAAAAGTTGATACATTTATCTTAGATTCTCTGGCATAGAGCCATCAATTGGATATAGTATTCTCTGTGATACTCTGTATTTCTGTGCCATCCATAATCATGTATCCTTTTCTTGTGCAATTCTATTAATTGGATTTCCTCCCTTTTTGTGAGTCTCGATACAGATTTGTAAATATCGTTTATTCTGTCAAAGAAATAACTACTGTTTTATTCATCTTTTGTATCAACATTTTATTACTATTTCATTTGTTTCTGCACTGACTTTTAATTTTTATTACTACTACTGACTTAGGGTTCTCATATGTTCTCTTCTTTCTAGTCCCTTAGGATGTGATATGGGATTATTCATTTGAGCTTTATCTTGTTTCCTATAAACCTGCACTGCTATGAACCTTAATATTGTTTTTGCTTTAGTTCATATGTTCCAGTAACTCACATCTATATTCTCATTTGCTTCCAGGAATTTATTTGTTCTCTTTTTTAGGGCCTTTTGAAATTGTACAGCTGGTAGAGTGCTTGTCTTACATGTGGCCGAGTAGGGTTAAGTTGCTGGTATCCCATATTGTCTTCTGACTTTCCTGCAGGACTAATATTTGAGAACTGAGTGAGGAGTAAACCCTGAGTACAGCTAAGTATAACCCCAAAACCAAAAGAAAGAAAAAGTAATTAAAATAAATAATATAAATTCTTTCTTTTAGATCCTAAATTACCCATTACTTATTAAATATGTTGTTTAGTTTCTAAATTACTGGGTCCGCTCAAGCAAATTGATGAACAATGGGAAGACAATGCTACAGTCCCACAGTTTCTAAATGTCTGTGTTTTTCCAGAATTATTGATTTTTATTCATTTATAGTGCACTAGAGCGATAGTACAGTGGGTAGGGCATTTGCCTTGCATGCAGCCGACCCAGGTTCTATTTCTCTGCCCCTCTCAGAGAGCCCCGCAAGCTACCGACAGTAATCTACCATACGGCAGAGCTTGGCAAGCTCTCTGTGGCATATCCGGTATGCCAAAAACAGTAACAACAAGTCTCACAATGGAGACGTTACAGGTGCCCACTCAAGCAAATCAAAGAAACAACAGGAGGACAGTGCTGCAGTGCTACAGTGCTATTGATTTATAGTATAATTTCATTATCATTTGAAAAGATATTTGATATTTTAGTCTTCATGTTTTTAACGACACTTGCTTTGTCTCAACCTGTGGTTTATCCTTGAGAACATTCCATGTGTGTTAGACAAGAATGTTTATTTGGTTTTC